CCAATTCTTTCCTTCCCAAAGAGACAGACTACGGAACTGCCATGTCTCCTCTCTCGATCTCATGAGGACGCCTCCGTTTCCCGGTGAGTTTAAGGCAGCCCTTTCAGGGCAGAGTCTGCCGCCTGACGCCTCCTGCGGCAGAGTTGCGGTGCATATCGGAGACGGCCATGATCTCGATGGAGACGGCCGGTCGCCAGCCAGCTCCCCGTCTGGCCTCCTCCCGCAGAGCTGGGTCAGTGGTCTGTGAAGCTGGCCTTCCTCTTCTCCACGAAGGCGCTCATCCCCTCCTTCCGGTCCTCCTGAAACAGCCAAGTGGGATGGGTCATGGCACGGCACTCATGCTACACTGGCTCTGGTTAGCAGTTTGCACCTGTGTCTTCTGGATCCAAACCGGAAGGCATACAGCAACGACCGCATTCAGCACGTGACACAAGGCTAGACACCAGTAGGCCTCACAAACATTCCTGTGCCTCGAATCAATCAACTATTACCATAAAACTCCTTTTTTGGTCCTACATTAACATGTTAATTGTTTTACTATTGTATCGTAAGCAATGTTCCCTCTAAGCTGTGGAGTCTTGTGAGCAAAAATTCTACCTTGTGAGCTGCTGGCATTAAAGTTGTGAGCGAGCAATCTGGCTGCTTGTGAGCTAGCTCACACTAACTCAGCTTAGAGGGAACATTCGTAAGCCTATTGTTTGGTGTAGTGGTTAGGAGCCCAGTTTGGTGTAGTGGTTAGGAGCGCGGACTCTAATCTGGGAGAACCAGGTTTGATTCCCCACTCCTCCACATGCAGCTGCTGGTGTGACCTTGGGTCAGTCACAAGTTCTTTCAGAGCTGTTCTCTCGGCAGTTCTGGAAAGAGCTCTCTCAGCCCCACTTACCTCACAGGGTGTCTGTTGTGGGGAGGGGAAGGGCAAGGAGATGGCAAGCCATTCTAACTCTTCTGGGTAGTGAAGGGCGGGGGTATAAATCCAATCTCTTCCCTTCTCCTATTATGTCCAAATATTGCTTGACCACTGAAGAAGGCCCATAAGGGCCGACACGTGTCAGGTTGCAATAGTTCCCACCAGTGTTCCCTCTAAGCTGAGTTGGTGTGAGCTAGCTCACGGTTTTTTAGCCTCTGGCTCACACATTTTTGTCTTCGCCCAGGAAGGACGGCTCCAGAGCAAACTAATTTTTGCAGTAGCCAAACCGCTCGCTCACAGCTTTAATGCCAGTGGCTCACAAAGTAGAATTTTTGCTCACAAGACTCCACAGCTTAGAGGGAACATTGGTCCCCACTGGTGTACATTGTATACTTTTATTCTGTAAAGGTAAAGGTTCCCGTGCTCGAAACCCAGTCGAGTCCGACTCTAGGGTTGCGGTGCTCATCTCAGTTTCCAAGCCGAAGAGCCAGCGCTGGCCGAAGACGTTTCCGTGGTCATGTGGCTGGCATGACTAAACACTAAGGTGCACGGAACGCTGTTCCCTTCCCACCAAAGTGGTACCTATTTATCTACTTGCAATGTCTTGCTTTCGAACTGCTAGGTTGGTAGGAGCTGGAACTAGAGACGGGAGCTCACTCCGTCATGCGGCACTCGGGTCTCTAACTGCTGAACTACCGACCTTCCACAGCCTGCAGTTCAGCGTCTTAACCACTTGAGCCACCGCAGCTCCTTTATTCTGTAATGAGGTGACAATTGGGCCCATAAATGTTTTTAACCATCTGATAAGAAATACATGTATTTTTGATAATATTCAGGTTGTACATATTGTTTCCCGTAATTTGTCTGTAACTAACCTCTCTGGTTCTTAATTCAATTTTTGGGGGTTAAGTCCCCCCCCCTTTTTTCTTGTCACATAACGGGAGCAGCCTGAATTGGGGGGGGGGGGGGGCAACAAACCTGCCAGTGGAAACTCTCTCCCAGGGAGGGGCACGTGTGGGTGAAAGAAAGGCGGGGAAGCGGCGGCCAGAGGTGAGAAGTCCCCTTCCCGCCCCCCAGCTCTGGACAGAGAAAACGACTCACCGTGGCGAAGGTGGCATGGAAGAGGATCTTCTCCCGCTTATTCCCCTCGGCCAGGGTTGTCTCGAAGGCTGGAAAGCAAAAGGGCACGGTAAGCCTTGCTGTTTCCAGAGCAGGTATATCAAAGGGCTATGTCAAGGAAGCAGGAGCTTGAAGCCTGTACTGTTTGTTGTTTTAGATACAACCAAGTGTCTTCTGCCACCAAGACTATCTGTAGACATTCAATAATATATCTAACAATGTTAAACACAACGTACAACCCACAAATCAAGTTTTAGTGAAGCTTACTTGCTATAATTTAGTTGAACCATATATAAGTCCTCACAACCATTTAACATAGTTATCCCAGGATGCTGAGATGAATTTTTCGTCTGATAGGGCTTCTAAAATTGGAAACCATTTAGCTTCGAACCCAAAATGTGCAACGTTCCTTTTATTTCTGTTAACTTTATCTGTTAACAACAAACAGTACAGGCTTCAATTACAAATTGAGGCTAAAACAAGTTACTTTGTTCAAAGGTTTATTGATGTATGTATTATTCTTTAAAGCTTACATTTTGTTTGTTTGTTTGTTTTTGTAATTAGGGTATTGGTTTGAATGTTTAACTTTTCTTATGATCCTTATGTACATTTCTAATGTTATAAGTAAGTGACAGTTCTGACTTCTAAAAACTTTTTAATCCTACCAATAAAATGTTAATGAAAAAAAAAAAAGGAAGCAGGAGCTTCTGCCTGGTGTTGTCTGCCAGCGGGAGGAGAGAGGAGACTGGTCAGAGGGCTGGTCGCTGGTCGGGGAGCCCCTGCGCTCGCTGGGTAACCCCGGGCCAGTCCCAGCAGACACTCCTCCCAACGCCCTGCACAGGCCAGCCCCGGAACGGACTGCGGCCCTTCGTGCTCCCCTGCGACGCTGCATGGGTGACGCTCCTCCCCTCGCCTCTCACAGCAGGAAGGAGAGGTCCCACGGCCAGCCCACATACCTATCTTGGCAGTCACCCCGTGGGACCCCGCAGCAGAGACCCTTGACCTCGGAGCAGCCCCTCCACGCCACCCAGCCCAGGGAGGTTACCTGCATTCACGGCTTCTTTGGCCATCGCAGCCACCAGCTTGGAGTTCCCCGCTATCTTTTCCGCACAGCTGATGGCTTCGTCCAGCAGCTTATCCACGGGACAGACTTTACTGACAAGGCCTAAGGAAGGGGGACGCTCCAGTTAACACACACGCAGGGGGCTCATGCGCCGGCAGGCCGGAAAAAGAAAAAAAAAGCTCAGCAACCTTCCCTACGACCCAGACCTGACGGGCAAGGCGCATTGCCCGTGATACGCGCCAACCAGCTCGGAAGTCACAGCTGCCTCACCACCTCCGGCATGCAGAGACGGTGGCAGATTCAGCAAATGGAAGCATAAACAGCCCCAAGAGACTGGATGTCCAAGCCCACCCCCAGGAAGCGCTCTGCAAGCTCACACAGTAGAATTTTTGCTCACAAGACTCCACAGCTTAGAGGGAACATTGGTGACGGGCAAGGCGCATTGCACGTGATACGCGCCAACCAGCCCGGAAGTCACAGTTCCCCCACCACCTCCAGCATGCAGAGACGGTGGCGGATTCAGCAAATTGAAGCATAAACAGCCCCAACAGACTGGATGTCCAAGAGAGGCCAAGCCCACCCCCAGGAAGCGCTCTGCACTCCGCCGGGTGCAGAAACCGACACGACTTGGGTTGCAGTGGGAGAGGAAGGCCCCACATGCTCAGCTGGTGCGACTGCCTGGGACAGGGCCGGGGCACCCGTCCGCTTGAGCCTCCCGCCCCCTTCGGGCCTGTGGGAGTGGGGCGACGAGAGCCGAGCGGCCCCTCTTACCTGCCTGCTTGGCCTCTTGGGCGGAGATCCGCTCCCCGGTCAGGATCATCTCCATGGCCAACGACTTGCCCACTGCCCTGGTCAGCCTCTGGGTCCCGCCAGCGCCTGCCAGAGATGATAATGACGATGGTGACTTATTAAACGTCTGGGTCAGCAATTAAAAATGAATTATATGTTGTCTTTCCTATCCCCTATGAAACATTGTTAGTCCCCCTGTCTAAAAGTGTAACTGTAAATCACTTTGAGCCCACTCGTGGGGAAAGCGATTAATAAATCGAAAGCATTATTATTTTTATTAT